AAATATGTTTTTATTGATTTCAGAGAGAGGAAGGGAGAGGGAGAAAGAGAGAATCAATGAAGAGAGAGAATCATTGATCGGCTGCCTCCTGCACGCCCCCTTCTGGGGATCTAGCCTGCAACCTGTGCATGTGCCCTGACCAGGAATTGAATCGCCATCTCCTGGTTCATGGTTCGACACTCAATCACAGAGCCACACTGACAGGTGGTGGATTTTTTTTTATTTTTAGTGTTGTTGCTGATGTCATTTTACCTAGATCTAGGGCTTTTCAGTGTATAGATAACTCTGCCCTTTGGACTTGAAGGCAAACAGCAGTATCAGGAGTCTTTCTAATTCCCCACCAGAGTTGGGACAGGGCTCCAGTACAGGGAGAAGGCGTGCAATAAATACTGGGACAAGCACAGCTACCAAAAATAAGGGAGAAAAAACGAATTGCCAAAGTCATGAATACTCAACCTCATTCTTATACTGTGACTGTTCACTCTTTTCCTCAGATCCTTCTGTGTGTGTATGTTTTAATAAACTGGTGCAGACCCCGAGCCTGCAGGGACTTGCCCCAGTCTTTCTAACTCCCCACCAGAGTTGGGACAGGGCTCCAGTACAGGGAGAAGGCGTGCAATAAATACTGGGACAAGCACAGCTACCAAAAATAAGGGAGAAAAAACGAGTTGCCAAAGTCATGAATACTCAACCTCATTCTTATACTGTGACTGTTCACTCTTTTCCTCAGATCCTTCTGTGTGTGTATGTTTTAATAAACTGGTGCGGACCCCGAGCCTGCAGGGACTTGCCCCAGGCCCCTGCTCACATGCGGTGGGAAGCAGGCACGACGCTGGCGAGGTACTGCCCCCGGACCACCGGCATCAGCAGCAACACTGAAGGATGGAGACTACAATGTGGCTCCTTCCTGCCTGCTCAAGTCCATTGTTCCCACTGGGTGAAACTCTGTCAATTTAGGAAACTTATTCACATGGAGTGAATAGATTGCCAAAGTCATGAATACTCAACCTCATTCTCATACTGTGACTGATCACTCTTTTCCTCAGATCCTACCGTGTGTGTATGTTTTAATAAACTGGTGCAGACCCCGAGCCTGCAGGGACTTGCCCCAGGCCCCTGCCCACTTGCGGTGGGAAGCAGGCACGATGCTGGCGAGGTACTGCCCCCTGGCCACCGGCATCAGCAGCAACACTGAAGGATGGAAGTCCATTGTTCCCACTGGGTGAAACTGTCAATTTAGGAAACTTATTCACATGGAGTGAATAGGGCAGAAAATGTCCTCACCCCTAGAAATAGCTTCATAAAGACCAGGGCAGCGGTTTAAAGCCTGAATTTACATTGTCTTAATGGAGGCCAGAGAGGAAGAATACAAATCTAAGTAACCAACCAAGGTCAGCGTCTTTCACAGAGAAAATATTTCAAGAACATCTTCCTCTTCCACAGGTATAAATACATTATTTTAATGTTTTTCACAGCATCCTCCTGAGGAAACGGGATGTATTGATCATTATCCTCCATTTCAGAGCGCCTCACGTAACAAGGCAATTCACAGTACTTACCCAGACCCACATAATGAGCCATAGCTTACAACATTTTCTCACCACTTTAGACTCATGGCTATAAAATTCCAGATGCTCAAGTGCTTGGTGCCAAAAAGCATCCATGACCAGAAAATTCACATTTGTTAATTCTTCCCGTTAAGCTATCTGACGGGCAGAACTGCCATTTCAACGTCCATACACGTTTTAACCGCGTTGTATTTTTCTATTAAAAAATTTTTAAGTAGTATTAGTAGGAAGAGCACAAGCAGGGTCAGGATCAAAACAGAGAACACAGCCTGGCCGGCCTGGCTCAGTGACTGAGCATCGACGTCGACCTACGAACCAGGCAGTCACGGTTCGATTCTGGTCAGGGCACATGCCTGGGTTGTGGGTTCGATCTCCAGTGTGGGGCATGCAGGAGGCAGCCAATCAATGATTCTCTCTCATCATTGATGTTTCTGTCTCTCTCTCCCTCTCCCTTCCTCTCTGAAATCAATAAAAATATATATTTTTAAAAAAAACAGAGAACACCGACTTAAAACAATGTGCTGAAACATATACGGGTGATTGCAGATTTTTCGCAGCTGCATGATAGTGTTCATGAGTGTCTTAGCACCCCCTTTCCCCTAAGAACACGTGGAGAGAGTCGAAATAGAACAAGTTATTAAAGGATCGGATAATTCTAATTGTTAAAAAGTGAGCTTTTATACAAGAGGCAAAGGGCTGTCGGTCTTCTCCGTAACCCACACCTCATGGGGTCCAAAGCTCCTGCTAAAATAGGGCGGTTTCTGGGTTCGATATAACATCTTTCTTGTGACTAACATCCTCCAGGAAGGAGTTATGTCATGTCGATGGGTTTGTGACATGACTGTCTATTCCCTAGGATTCTGGGAAGACAGAGGACCAAGAAATGAAACTTCTAAAATGCCACCCACTTTTAGGCGGAATATGTCTTCTGCCAAACTGACGTGAGCACAGCTAGCTATTTCAGAGATAGGACCTACTCCTTTCTTCCTGCCCTAGTGTAGTTTACCCTTAAGAGGGTAAGAGATGTCCTTTGGCAGCTACAACAGCTACAAAAGAGACCCAGTAACATGCATTAACAAATCTGCGTGAGCAGGATGCTTCCCGTGGGTATCTGACGTTCTGGTCACAAGGAGACGTGTGCACCCTGCGTTGCATCCCCTTCCGCCACGCACCTTCTTATCTTTCTCAGAACCATCTGTGAGGAGGATCCCTTTGGCTTGCATGTGGCGATACAGGATCTTCTGCAGAGCTGACATGTCACACTTGATCACATATTCAACCTGGGGGAAAAAGAGCAGCAAGTGGTTGAGAGCAGGAGAGAGAAGGTGCTGCTCTAAAGAGACTGTTGAGCCTGGCCAGCATGGTTCAGTGGTTGAGCATCGAACCTATGAGCCAGGAGGTCACAGTTCGATTCCCGGTCAGGGAATATACCTGGGTTGCAGGCTCCATCCCCAATGTGGGGTGTGCAGGAGGCAGCTGATCAATGATTCTCTCTCATCATTGATGTTTCTCTCTCTCTCCCTCTCCCTTCCTCTCTGAAATCAATAACAAAATATTTTTAATTAAAAAAAGAGAGAGAGAGATAGCCAGAACACAGCTGCTGGTGGCATTCCAGGAGCCTGAAGGTATCTGCTTCCTCACTTGGATTCCTGGGAAGGGGTGGGGGGTTTGGAACAGACTATGGTCATCGCTGCTAAAGGCATGGTATGGTGGAGGGACCTTCCAGAGGTCATATGTAATTGTGGCTAGGGCTATGCTTTTAGGAATTTTCATGACTTGCTCCATATTTGAGAGAATGGCTTGTAAACTGTTCAAATTCAAAGATACTGAATATAGAGTATATTTTCAGTATTTCTTCTGCCTCCCAACTATCTCCCCTTTTTACAGGAACAGGACAGGTTTAGGAAAAACAGTGACTGGCCAATATCCTATGATTTCCTTTGTGAAACATTTTTTCAAATGGTGATATGTGGCTACTCCCAATACTAGTCCTAAAATGAGACTTGTAACAGTCCTAGGTTGACTATCATATACCTGCTTTGGAGGGATGAGAGGACACTCCCCAGTGAGGACAGTAGGTGGAGAAGGCCTAATCCATAGCTGGGTTCAACGACCACCTAAAGAAGGCAAGACCCCCTGTGCTTCCACCTGAAATGCTGCAAAAAGCCCATCTGCAGCAGCGAAAGGGAACTCCGCACACACCTGCAGCCCTTCTAGCACGCTCCTACTGCATAAAATCCGCTGGATGCTCTCCTATTATTGTTTCACCTTATTAAAAAAATCCCCAGAATACAAACCTGCGGTTTTCATAATAAACAACAGATTAATGCCTAGAAATCTGCAGAATGTGATTAAAAGTAAATCAGCAAGCTGCCTAATGTTTAATAAACTGATTAAAAACGATCAGGTTATTTCCAGCTCTGAGGGCCAGAGCGAGGAGGTCACAGATGAAGAGAAGTTGAATATTCATTCAATTGTTGCTTTAGAAGAAACCTGTCAGGCTCGATGGAACCACTATTAATAGCCTTTTGCCAATCATTTTGATGCACCAAATCAAACTAGAGAAAGGCTGGCTCTTAGCAGAAAAGTTAAGAAAGGCAAGTAATCTACCATCAACTTGTATTAGTTTTTAATGACCTTCTTGGCCAGGCTGGGACAAAAACATCTCCAAGTTTAATAAATAAGGATGCAGGTAATATAGGTTTTGTGTGTTACAAGCCTGATCGTGTCATTTTTAAAGTACTTCCACTTCTTCAGGAGCTATTAACTCTCAATGAAATCTGATCATGGTGAAGAAAAATGTTAAACAACTTCAGAGGAGTATAAAGATAAAAATGACATCAGGGTTAATATTATTGAGCTCTGTAGGGACCAGGCCCAATGCACACGTGCATTTATCTGCCTTCTTTCATTTCTCCACAAAAGAGCTTTAAAAGACTTATATTCAGTGTCCACATTTTATCTTATTTTTTAAAATATATTTTTATTGATTTCAGAGAGGAAGGGAGAGGGACATAGAACATCAATGATGAGAGAGAATCACTGATTGGCTGCCTCCTGCATGCCCCACACTGGGGATCGAGCCTGCAATCTGGGCATGTGCCCTAACTGGGAATGGAACTGGTTCATTGGTGGACACTCAACCACTAAGCCATGCCAGCTGGGCCAGTGTCCACATTTTATAGATAAGGAACCAGAGCATCGAAAAGTTGAACAGACTGAGTCAAAATGATACAGCTAATTAATGGTGCAGTTAGGACTGGGAACAGTCCACTCTACTAAACTCTATGTTAAAGGTGACCAAGCAGAGGTTCCGGCTTCTGAGTTCTGCCCTGACATTCACCTTCACCGGGGCCTCACTGCTGGAAGAGACGCCGAGGCTTGTGTTTAAGGGCATTAGGGCTCCTAGGTACAGAACCCTCAACCCCCTCCCCACCAGTGAGCTACTGCCAGGTGCTGCAGGTGAGGGGCTTGGGAACAGGAGGCATGATGATACCATGCAAACGGGGACTTGGACATCCCACAGGGGTCACGTCAACAGAGAGGGGAGCCCATCCCGAGGACTCTGACCTTCTTCCTTCGTGTCCTCAGAGGATACCAGAAACTCGTTTGATAAATATGGTCAAAATCATCATCAAAAGCTTTGAAACTATATTTTACCTATAGTTGTTATAGAATAGTAAGAAGCCAGGAAAATTCCAGGCAAGTGGAATAGGGAAACTGAGACAGTTAACCAGCAGTTTGTGTCCACCTGGTAAATCCTATCTTCCCTAAACCAAGAACACTTAAGGTGGGGATGGGTGGGTGGGTAGGAAGAGATTAACTGAAGAATTTATATGCATAACCCATAGACACAGACAATAGTGTGGTGAAGGCCTGGGGAAGGGATCAATGGAGGAACAAAGGGGACATCTGTAATATTTTCAACAATAAAGATAAATTTTTAAAAAAGAGTAAATGATTTGCACTTCTCCCCAATCAGAGGGTAAATAGCTTAAATCACCGTACTTAGGGAGACAGAAAATAGAAATCCAATTAAATGCCATTTGCCAACCACATCCTAGGACAGTCAAATTAAGAAAATAAATCTCATTTTGGTATATCAGCATAAAGCTAATGAATATTCTATTGATCCACCTCGAAGACCTCCCCTAAACACCCAGCCTAGGAATCCCCATTCTTCCCCAAGTGTGAGGAATGGGTTTTACACTAGCAGGTAGGTGGTGGTTTGGGGGGAGGGGTTGCTTAAACCTGTGAAAAGATGCCTACCGTTATTGGACAGTCTATTCCCTTGCTCATGAGGTATTTCATTAGACTCATAAAATTATTAAGTAGCCATTGATTTAAACTATTTTTATTAAATATTCATTAAAACTAAATTTTGTATGAAGGAGAACTGCATTTATCATACTGTGACCCTCTGATGCCTGCTTTAGTTTCATCTGAGGAAATGTATTCCCGAGGTCACTCTACTCTAGCTACACTAAACAGAATTACCGTAAAAGGATGACATTTTGTGTTTTTAAGTTTTTCTATCACAAAACTCAACAATAAGAAAAGAAGCAATCCAATAAAAATAAAAAACAAGCAAAAGATTTGAGCACCATTTCATCAAAGAAGACATACAGGGGCTGATTAAGCCCATGAAAAGATGCCTACCATCATTGGATGGTAGAGAAAGGCAAATTAAAGTTACACATCTATTGAAATGGCTAAAAACATTTAAAAAACTGACACTTCCCAATGAGTACTGATGAGAAAGGGAAGGAAATGGAATGCTCACACATTGCTGGTGGGACTACAAAATGGTTCAGACAGTTTGGAGCAGTGTGTGGAAATTTACAAAGTTACGTGTACATTAACCATATGGCCGAGCAACCCCACTCCTAATTATCTGCTCAAGTGAAATGAAAAGCTATGTTCACACAAATACCTGTACACAATGTTTATAGCAGATTTATCCCTCATCAAGTATGGTGCATCCACATAATAGAATTCTACTCAACAATAAAAATGACCCAACTATGGATACTTGCAACAACTTGGATGCATCTCACACACACGATGCTGAGTGAAAGAAAGCAGATGCAGAAGGTCTGATGACACACACTGTCTGAGTCCACTCAGACGACATTCTGGCAAAGGCAGAGCTGGGGACGAACACATCAGTGGTTGCATGAGACTAAGGGTGGAGAGAGGCTCAGGCTAACATGTGGCAGCACTAAGGAATTTGGGGGTGGGGGGGAGACTGGGAAATAGAATTGCTCTGTATTGTGATGGTACGTGTGGAAAATATAACTATGCAGTTTTCAAAACTTCTAGAACTATGTGCCCAAAAGTAAATTTTATTATACGTAAATTAAAAAACACTTCCTTAATTGATTCCTTTTCACGAAAACATTTGATAATTATTGCTGTGGAAGTATTTATAGTTAGCCTTATCCTGCCGTAGCCATAATTCCTTCCTGATTCTTTACACAGGCTGAGAAAGACATACATGCTGTTTGTGGCTATAGCCAGGAGAAGGTAGAAGAAAACTTATCCCCAAGGATAATACTTAAATGACCAATTTTTCCCTGATAAAACAGTCCTCATAAGACAGAAAAAGCAGAGAATAACCACTGGCCACAAGACATCAATAAGGCCACATAGCTACACACAGTGATTAGTTCCCCCCACTTGCCTTGAAAGGACTATGGGAACAGCGATGTGGGAGGGCCACAGGAAGTGCAAGAATGAGAGAACAGTGAGGCCTAGAGGTCTCCATTAATAATGGAAGCAGCAACATGAGTAGCTGTCCCTAGTTGAGGGCTGCCCACGTGCCAGGCACGGTAGTAGTAGTAGTATATCCATCTTAGTCCTCTCAACAGTTCTATGAAGCAGGTATCATTTATTTTATAGTTCAGTGATGAGAACCTTGAGACCCACTGGGTTAACTTGACTTGCCCAAGTTCACACAGTAAGAGACGGAGAATGTGGTGGGGACCCTTGTCCACTCTGATGGCAGAACCCATGCTTTCCACACTGCCAAGTTACCTCCAGGAAAAGGGAGCTTATCCATAGACAATCTATCACATACAGGGTATTTAACATACATCAGAGGTCATGCTCCGGCTATTAAAGAGCACATGTGTACTTTATATAGGAGACATACTGTCGAAAATCTAATATTAATTTTTTAAAAAGTTTATTCAGACTCAAGAAGCACTCTTGTGGAAAGAACGGTAAAATAAATAGTAAAGAATTCCTTTGTGAAATAAATGATCACCCCACAATCCTTAGGCTGCAAAAGTTTGGATTTTTATATAATAGACTAGAGGCCCGGTTTACGAAATTCATGCACTTGGGGGTGGGGGGTGGTCCCCCAGCCTGGCCTGTGCCCTCTCACAGTGTGGGAGCTCCGCGATCGATCGCCCCAAAGAGGAAGGCCCCGTCCACCCATCCAGGGCTCCTCAATGGATTGCCCCAAAGAGGTAGGGCAGAGCCGCGGAACCCACCTTTGCACTGTGCACGCAGCATCAAGCCCCCGCCCACCTACGTGTGCCTTGCTGTGCACGCAGCCCCACCCACCTGCGTGCGCTGGCTGCGCATGTAGCCTCCTGGTGATCACTCGTTACGGCGTGAGGGCGTCATGACCACATAGGCTTTTATTATACAGGATTTTCTTAAGACAGGGCATAGTTTTAACTTATAATGCATTTAAAAAAAATCTATGTCTATTTAGCCAGTCTTGTAAGTAAATAAGTCAACAAGATTAAGAAGTTTTATGGAATGAATAAATAAAGGACTTTAGTTAGTCACCTTTTATTTTACAGCTCTTCTAAAGAAACAAAAGGAAGCATGGGACAAATTAAAATCCTTAACATTCCACCACTATGACTTGCAGGATCTCAGTAACAGTATGCTGGGAGGTAGCTCCAGGCAGCCACATGGCCATTGTATCCATTCCCCAGTTTATATATTCAGTAGCTAAGCTCCATATTAAACAGAAAAGATGCTGAGACCACAGAAGTTAAGTAAATATTGATATAGCATTTAATGCCCATGATGCATTTACTAGCACAATAAAACACTTAAATATTTGGGGGCAGCCACATGGCCACTGTATCCATTCCCCAGTTTATATATTCAGTAGCTGAGTTCCATATTAAACAGAAAAGGGGTTACCCAAAGATGCTGAGACCACAGAAGTTAAGTAAATATCGATATAGCATTTAATGCCCATAATGCATTTACTAGCACAATAAAACACTTAAATATTTGGGCTACTCCTGGAGTAAGCCTGGTATAAAAACCATCTTTAATTCTAATTTTTTTCAATTGTTAAAGAATAGAGAACAAAATTCTCTCTCAGCAAACCGATCAACCTCATATGCTATTTTCCAGCTCCCACTTAAAAATGAACAGGATGAAACAATCTGTCCAAAAAATAGAGTCATTACACAGAAAAACACAATGATGCAAAATAACACATTTCAAACTTGGCTCACCTAAAGAGAAAGCTCAGATCAAAATATCTCATGCTAGAAATAATAGTATACAATGCCAAATACTCTTTCTTTAAGAGAATAAAATTTAGAACTCTAATGTGTGTGGTTCCAAATTATGATCAGAAACATATTAAACTAATACCCAAATCCAACCAAAAAGTGCAGATCTAAGGGCTCAAAGGATATTCTAAAGCACTGAAAACTCAGTGTCCACAAAGTAATCTGAAAAATACTTGCTCAAAATGTTCACAGGAACTTCATGTTTGTGGTGCAGGACAGAAACTGTGCCCAAGAATAATTAGATGATGGTTCTGTAATTTGTAGAAATTCTATTTTTCACCTATTAGAATGGTGACATCACAAGCATCAAATCCATATATGTAAAAGCCTAAGCGACCCTCACGACAGAATGACCGGAATGACCAGAACAACCAGTTGCTATGATGCACATTGACCACCAGGGGGCAGACGCTCAAAGCAGGAGCTTCCCCCTGGTGGTCAGTGCGCTCCCACAGGGGGAGCGCCCCTCAGCCAGAAGCCAGGCTCATGGCTGGCAAGTGCAGCTGCGGGGGCAGGAGCCTCTCCTGACTCCATGGCAAGTGACGGCAGCAGGCACAGCGGGCCAGGATGAGTGCGAGCAATGTGGCACCTGGCCCCGGTTCTGGCTCCTCCCTGGCCACCTGCCGCTTGGCGCACTGCTACATCCTTTGGGAGGTGTCTGACTACCAGTTTAGGCCCGATCCCCGCAGTGATAAGGCCTAAACCAGCAGTTGGACATCCCCAGAGGGGTCCTGGATTGCAAGAGAGTGCAGGCCAGGCCAAGGGACCCCACCAATGCACGAAGACGCTCAAAGCAGGAGCTGCCCCCTGGTGGTCAGTGCACTCCCACAGGGGGAGCGCCGCTCAGCCAGAAGCCGGGCTCATGGCTGGCAAGTGCAGCTGCGGCGGCAGGAGCCTCTCCTGACTCCATGGCAAGTGATGGCAGCAGGTGCAGCGGGCCGGGATGAGTGCGAGCAATGTGGCACCTCGCCCCGGTTCTGGCTCCTCCCTGGCCACCTGCCGCTTGGTGCACTGTTACATCCCTTGGGGGGTGTCTGACTACCAGTTTAGGCCCGATCCCCGCAGTGATAAGGCCTAAACCAGCAGTTGGACATCCCCAGAGGGGTCCTGGATTGCAAGAGAGCACAGGCCAGGCTGAGGACCCCACCGGTGCAAGATCAGGGTAGGGGAGGGACCGAGGGAGGGCTCCAGGGTGTGTCCGGCCCTTCTCGCTCAGTCCTGATAAACTCAAATGAGGTTAGTTAACTTAAAAAAAAAAACTAAAATAAAATGCAATGTTAAGTTAATTAATGTATGCTAAGTGGCTGTAAGTTAAAGTGTAATGACTTTGGTAAAACTCAATGAATTTGGTAATTTTTTCTGCCCAAAGTTTTTGGACACCGGGCTAAAAAATGCTGAAATTTGCCTTCTCTCTCTACACTAAACCCCCTAGCTTCTATCAAATAAATTAGCACTTCAAGAGATTTCCGAAAGACAAACCTGCTGTTTTAGAAACACAATTCCAGGTGCGGGTAAGTCAACCATATCGGCAGGGGAAGAAACCATAACTTGTGCATTTTGCAACATACCTTTTCTGGAAGCTGGGATTCCACTTCCTTCTTCAGTCTCCTCAGTAAAAATGGTCGCAAGACCTTATGTAGACGCCGGATGATCAATATAGTTTCTTCTTCATTCAAGTCCACCTACAAGAAGAGAACCGTAGATGACTTTTATTTTCTTTAAAGGATGTTTCATGTAATAACACTTTATGTTACATTTATTATTCATTTCAATATATGTTTGAATGTTTATATGTGTTAAGGCCAGGTTTATACCTGGTCACATACACCTCAGAATCCTCTTCCCACCTGCCTACCAGTTGGAAATAAAATAGCCTCTAAATGGGTGTTTGTCTTACGGATGGGTTTGTGGGAAAGGGCTCAGAATTTTATGTGACATAACTGGCAATAAAGACTGACTGAAGCCCTGGCCAGTTGGAGCATCATCCTATGTGGGTTCATACAGGTTATGGGTTTGATCCCTGGTTGGGGTGCATAGGGGAAGCAACCGATCGATGTTTCCTCTCTCACATGATGTTTCTCTCTTTCTAAAATCAATGAAAACATATCCTTGGGTGAAGATTAAAAAACAACCCAGACTGACATAAAACATGAGTAGCCCTGACTGGGTAGCTCAGTTGGTTAGAATATTGTCCCAATATACCAAGGTTGTGGACTTGATCTCCAGTCAGGGCACATACAAGGATCAGCCAATGAGTGCATAAATAAGTGGAACAACTGTTTCTCTCTTCCCCCCTTCTCTCTCTCTCTAAAATCAATTTTTTAAAAAAGATTATTAAAGAAAAATAAAAGAACACTAGTAGAGCGACAACAACAGTTAATGTGTTCTTACTTAAAGTGGAGGCATTAGGTTAGGCTCTTAACTGTGTCTCAGAGGCAGGAACATGCCAAGGGAATAGGCTTGCACACAAAGATGAAAACAAGAGTAGATCCAGCTTATGTTGGCTGGTTTCTAAGCCATGCTACCTTTCTCTTCCTTTCTTCTGCCCTGATCTTGTTGGAGTTACAGTCACATTTATAAAACCCTCTGCTTTCTCTTTCACCCTCCTCTATCACCTCTAGGGGGCAGAGTTGATTGACTCTACTTTATACAAATGGGCGAGTCAATCACTTATTGACAAAAAGAAAATGTACCACACAACTAACGGGCTAAAGAGTTCCAACCTAAGTTTCCCTAGAGCATTCTTTCTGGCTTTGCATTCCTATAGTTAAGAAATCACAAACCAAAGGACATGTGCCCATTCCTATAGTTAAGAAATCACTAAGCAAGAGGTCATGTGCCCATTTCTTTTCTTACAATGGCTTGGGCCCTTCTTTCATCAAGGAGCTCCAAGAGAAGATAGATAGTGGAAGAAATGGAGGTAAGAAATTTAGAAATGGCTACTCCAGATTTGAGGAGTATTTATGTAGACACAAAACTGAGGCTCACACTAAACTCTGAAAAAACGTGTACAGAAAATTAGTGTACAACTTCAGTTTTACACACACACTCTTGATGAGGAAACAGTTTAAAGGGAAGCCCACGTTTATAACAAGGATGTACATGTCTTAAGGTTTATGTTCAGCTGGTGAGTTGACCTGTTAAACTGAGGCAGTAACTATCCCTCCACGGGTCCCCCTAGTGGAAGAAATGGAGGTAAGAAATTTAGAAATGGCTACTCCAGATTTGAGGAGTATATTTATGTACACAAAACTGAGGCTCACACTAAACTCTGAAAAAACGTGTACAGAAAATTAGTGTACTTCAGTTTTACACACACTCCTGATGAGAAAACAGTTTAAAGGGAAGCCCACGTTTATAACAAGGACATACATGTCTTAAGGTTTATGTTCAGCTGGTGAGTTGACCTGTTAAACTGAGGCAGTAACTATCCCTCCACGGGTCCCCCTGGCCCACAGCAGTACAGCATCCCACCGTCAGGAATGTCCTCTGGCGGCCTGGTTGGAGTCAGGACACCCACACCTCACTAGATCCACTTTCTTCAGAGGGGACACACCCGGGAATGAGAACATGTGCCCCACTGGTTAGCTTCGGAATGTGGGCGACATTGTAAACCACCCTGAGGGTTTCCTGTAGCTCTAATGTTCTCAGCTCTAGATCCTTTCATTTCATTGTCAAGTAGTGGAAAAAAAAATGAGCTAGACCAGTACCCTTTCTCCAGTCATGGCAAATGGAGCATTGAACCACTGTTCGAAGGTGCTGCAGCTCTTGAAAATGGTGGGGAGGAGGAAGTTGAGGAGTGCCCAGAGCTCCGGGAGCTTGTTCTGCAGGGGGGTCCCGGTCAGCAGGATCCTCCTGGGGGCCACGTAGTGCGTGTTCAGGACCTGAGTCAGCTTGCAGTGGTGGTTCTTCATCCGGTGGCCCTCGTCCACAATCATGTACTTCCACCGGATCTGTAACGTCAGACAGACCGACATGTGGTGAGCAAGGGAAAAGATGACGATTTCCAGGAGGCAAGAGGTGAAATGGAGCCCTAGCTGGTTTGGCTCAGTGGATAGAGCGTCAGCTCAGGGACTGCAGGGTCCTGGGTTCGATTCCGGTGAAGGGCATGTACCTCGGTTACAGGCTCAGTCCCCGGCCCGGCACATGAGGTAGGTAACCAATCGATGTGTCTCTCACATCGATGTTTCTCTCTCTGTCTATCCCCGTTCCTTCCACTCTCTCTTAAAAAAAAAAATCAATGGAAAGAAATATCTTCGGGTGAAGATTAACAACAAAAAAGAGGTGAAGTGGAAAACCAAAGAACCCATATCTGGTGAAACATATGGTGGGGTTCTCCTTAGGATAAAAGAACCTCAACAGTCTCTATCCCATACCTGACAGATCGGATAATACGTCATGTAACAACGGGAAGCTAAAGCAACTAGGTTCCTTAGAGGCCATGTAATTCCAAGCCACCCTTTAACCAAGAAGGAAGCCTGGCCCAAAATGCAATGGTTAAGCCAGGGGGTAGCTCCTGAGTCTCCCCATCCTGTACCCCTGCTAATGCTGGACCCTGACACTGTCCCAGGCCTAACGGTCATGCCCCCTCCGCAAGGTACAGAATACAGCTCTCCACCCGAGGCAGCAGTTAATGACGGATCCTTCCAGCATTACCTGTAGCTGACAGCCTCTGGCTTCTGCCTTCTTTCCTATTACGTGGGCTGACTATACTACCTTTAGGGCTTGGATCAGTGTTCTTTATTTTAATTTCAATTAGCTGCTAACATTTAAAAGTTGGTATATTTCACATTAAAATCTGGACATCTAGCTTTTCCTTTAAAAAAAGAAAAAGAAAAAAGGAAGATCTGGCAACCTGGACTCTCACACATACTAGTATTCCTTAACTGCCAAGCACCTATCCACCAGGTCTAGTCCCTGCTTTACGATATTCTCACTGGCGGAGAGAACAATGCTAAATGTCATCCCTCTCTGTACGCCAAGCCTTCAGAATTAAACATAACACACTCCCCCCACACAACTATCCCTTCAGAAGTAAAGGATGACTGTCTGATGCAATCCTCCTCCCTATGTCTACGAAAGCCCCTTTCCTCTCTTGTATTTTACACTTGAGCCCTCTTCAAGGTCACTCGTCTCCATTTCTTAAAGTGAGAACAATGAGGAATGTTCCACGAAGCCTATCCATTCCCTACAGAGCAGGGGCGATGGCCAAGGAAAGCATCTGGTGCTCAGATGTCCCTGGATCCTGCCGCAACACTCCTGGTGAGAGGAGGGAGACAGCACCGCACTCCCCACAGGCCTCGCCTTCCTCGGCAGAAGCACCAGGGAAATCAGGGGAAAGCATATAAAAGCATCAGTCAGGCTGGGATGTTCAGGTAAAAGGAAACAGCCAGAGATTTTGTGTATTTTTCTGCCTCTACCACCTCTAAGAAAAGTGTTTAAGAATAATCAAAGTTGTACTGCGGCCGTCCGAAACTTACCAATAGCGTGAAAAGAGGCCTGCAGATAACATGTATTTAAGTAAATATCCTACATCTGCTTTTCTGTCCAATTTGGCTTATGAAATAGTAAACAAGGAAGCAGAGGCCTTAGGTTTTGCTATTGGGCTACTCCTAATTAGGTCTTCCACTCGGAAAAAATTGCTGCCCCGTTCTGTATCTCCATTTCTCCAGTTACAAATAAAAGCGATACATCTCGTTAACAGGCGCCTCCAATGAATTTTGAAATGCCTACGCAGAAAACACGGTCTGAATTTGTTTTCAAGAATCGCAAATGTATAAACACATTCCCATCGTAATACTGAAAACACATCATTTCTGACACCACCAAATGCGTCTCCGAATACGAGGAGTCGGAACACGCACTGCTGCCAGGGCCCTCGCAATGATTAGACCACCCCCGGGAACACACTTCCTGTATGCTACTTCCTGTGATGCCATCAAGGGAATGCTCAGTTCCCAGAGCAAAGGGTTAGTGCAGAGACAGAACACACCCCAGAAATGGGGATTCTGTCCAATTTGGGCTATAACTTGGTTTCAGATGATAGTGCATTCAAAACACCACAGGGCAAAAGAAATTACTTAAAAAAAAATTAAGTCTTCATATTTGCTCCATGAAAGAAACTACTTCCATCATTCTGCATGAACATATTAGGAGGCAAGATGATATTAATGGGAAAAAATGATATTTTATGGCTAAAGGACAACTTAGGACATACAAATTAGGAGGCATGTAGGTTGCAGGTAGAAAACCACTCTTTCCCAGCTCCAAATGGTCACAGAAACAGCCCAGAGTAATTCAAACAATAATAGCCCATATTTTTTAGGAAAAAACCTGAAACGGGGACAGCAGTAAAGCCACAGCTCAGAGAAATGTTCACAGGGACAAGACCATGTGGAGAGGTGCTACTCGTCTTCGGAGAGACAAAGGCCCAAGAGGACTGAAGCTACGCTACTGACAATAACCCAGGGCAGCAGAAACAACGAATCCTTCCACACTAGCTGCTGGAGAGAGAAGAGCTGCAGAAGGAACCCAGGCGAACTTTTAAAGAGATGTAAACCGACTATCTATGAGAGGATAAGTAAGAGCCCCAGGACAGATGGTGCGTGTGTGCGCGCACGCACACACACAAATAGTATGCATACAATTAAAACCCATAACCAAAATATATCTGACTCTAAAAAAAGAAAGAGAGAAATGCCATTTAACAATCAAATTATACTAGTGAGTATAATCTGGGAAATACTTTACACTCCAGTGCAATGGTCCATCATTTAGCGATAGAAGAATTTTTTTAAACATACCTTTGCAAGAATGTGCTTGTCTTTTATAATGTACTCGTAAGTTGTCAAGAGGACGTTGAATTTGCCACTCCGTAGCTGGGGGACAAGGGAGCGACGCATGGCAGGGGTGCCCTGAATAGAAAGGGAGAAAAAACACATATCTATTACCCAGTGGAAGCACATGTGTGCTATTTCTCACTATTCAGAGCTTAATGGAGCCCAGGCCCGTGACTAACGATTGCACATATATGCATTATTATATACAGACACATTATCCACCAAGAAAGTGCTCGGCGAAATCGCCCAGGTCTGGACACTTTTCAGTCTCTTAGAGAGAGGCTTTCCCTCTGAAAATGGCGGGGAAAGAGAGAAAAGGAAATTGCAGTGACCGCCAGGTAGTGGAGAACCCGCTGCTCTAATGAAAGGCTCCTTTTCTACGGGAGCCTGTAGCAGGCGGCCCGAGCACCCAGGTAATTGCTGAACTTTCTGCAGGCACAGTGAGCCTGTCGGCGGCACGGGGAATGCGCGGTATTTGTCATTTGTATTACTCTCATCAGAAACCTCGCAATATGATAATTAACAATTTTCTTCTGCATTTCACTATCTGAAAGTAATTATGGTTTATTACAGTCATCTTCTTGGGATGATTAACTCTCACTGTTTAGTACATGATGTACATGACAAAACTTTACAACCAAATACAGTGCACAGATGTGCATATGGAGTAAAGAAAATGGGGTCTATTTTTTGCTTTTGCACATTTATATATAAACACGGCATTCCAAACCTTGTAAGAAATTTTCACCACAGAAGGAGCCCATTTGTCAAATTCATATGTCCAGTTAGACAGAGTCCTGTAGAACAAAAAATAAATAGAAGAAAGAAAAATAGACATTTGTATAAAAGTTGGTGGTTAAATAGATGTTCTTATTTATTTTCAGGCTTCACCTTGAATATCTTGACTACGTATTTTTTTAAAGGTGTGAAAATAAGAGATAAGTTAGAAATGAGCTGCCACAAAGCATGACAAGTATGTTGTGGGCACATAAAAATAAATCTCAGAAGAAAAAAAAAATAAAGAATGCATAATTATAGAGGGGGAAAAAAAAGAAAAAGAAAAAAACACCTTAAATTTTAATACGGTATTGAAAAATAGCAACTGCCGAAGCGATTCGGTGAGTCTTTAGAAACAGCCACACACGTTCAGAGAAAAGTTGAGTCAGGAAAAAAGAAATGACAAAAGCACGTGAACATATTAAATACATCTGTCAAGAGGAAGCAGGGGAAGAAATAGTGAATGGCCCCTGCCTCTGTTTTTAATCCCTGAAAGCGTGACCATAATATACAAGTCAGAACGTGTAAAATACAGATAAAAAGCAAAACACATATTCAAAATGTAGGTAAAATGCAAAGAATGTCTAAATACTATGGATTCAGATCATCCAGATTAAAGAGGTCTGCAAATAGTCCTCCTTTAAACAAATATGGGAGAAAATACTAAAAGCAGAATCTTTATTTTTTTCTCAAGGTCCAGGTTTGTATTCGCTCGGAGACCTAAGATCTCAGGGATGAAAAATGCAGCCAGACACCCACCGCCAGAGACACTCCCCTGGGGGCGGGGGTGGGGGGAGTGTGATCAGGCCCTCCTTCTCTCAGGAGTGTCCACCGAAGACCTGCAAAGAGCCACTGGGGCGCGAGGCCTGGGAGTGAAATGGTGCACAGCAAAGACCTGTCCTTGCCAAGAGGCAAAGTCACTGAAAATGAATTACACATACTGCGGGCAGGATAAGGTAACATTCTCAGTTACAAATTTGATTTAGATTCTGCTTTGAAGGATACAATAAAGAAAGAACAGAATACACAGTCTTTTGAATATATGTAACCTTTTGGAAACGGAACCAGAGAAAAAAATCAAAGAAATTTTTAAATTAAAAAAAAACGAAAACCTCTCTCCCCCACTTGGTGAGCCGCTGAAGGAATAAGGCGCACTGTACAGAGAGGAGGCTGGGAGTGGGGTCGGGGGTGGGAAATAAAAAACCTAAGTCCAGATGACATGCTCCCGGGCACCCCAGCACAGGCTACACTTCTGCTTTCAGTGGCTGCAGCTCACAGACAGATAACTGCAGAACAAAGGCTGATACTCACGAAAGGGGCACGATGATGAGATAGGGGCCATTGAGTCTTTTGTGCTCCATCAGGTAAGTGATGAGTGCAATGGTCTGTATGGTCTTTCCCAGCCCCATTTCGTCAGCTAAGATTCCGTTCAAATTGTTATTATACAGGGAGACCATCCATTCCAGGCCCTGGAGCTGAAATGAAGAGTAATTGCTTCAATTACCCACGATCTGCACAGGTAATTAATACTAATACAACTCAAGTGAGGCTGTGACTTCTTAACTCCACGGTGCTATATGCTGGATCTCCCACAGCAGGAAAGTGAGGGAAGCACCAGCACAAAAGGAATTTAAAACACGAGCCCGTAATCGTCCCCGCTGCCTGGCAGGTGCCGAGTGCTAATCAGATTTAGAAACGATGGGCTGGAGCAGACGGGTGGGGTTTTAAGCAGCTTTGCTGCTCATCCCTACTTAGCATTTCGCAGTGTAGGACATTCTAGAATTATTATAAATGAAGAAAACCCAAAGCAAAATCCACTCCAACCACTCCAGGAACAAAAAGCCAATGCGAGGATTAAAGACAGACAAACCAGAGGGCAGGTTTGGCTCAAAGGTCACAGACCGTTAGAAAGAGCCTTCTTGGCTAAGGAGCCCTCCGTCCAGCGTGGGCTGCCCTTGGTGAGGAAGCCAGGTGACCGGGGAGCCAGGGGCGGCTGCTGGGCTGCAGGAGGGCGTTTCCGGCGGGGGGCGGGGGTCACATCTCAGGGGCAGCAGATGGAAACTTCCCTATGTGGGCACTCTCCAAGGGCAGTCTACGGAAGCTGACTGCCTACCAACAGGTTCCACATATTTGTAAAGCACAAAAGCTCTGCACCGAGATGCAGCTTTGCAGTCCGTCAAATATAAGAAAGGTCGGTGAAAATACAAAATTGTTAAACCTGCCTCTCCCAATACCAATTCCCTTTCCCTCTCATACTACCAATGCTGGATTTGTTTATTTTTTTAAATACAATTTTTATTGATTTCAGAGAGTAAGGGAGAGGGAGAGGGAGAGGGAGAGGGAGAGGGAGAGGGAGAGAGAAACATCAATGATCCGAAAGATCATGGATTGGCTGCCTCCTGCAGGCCCCACACTGGGGAGGATTGAGCCAACCCGGGCAGGGCATGTATCCTGACCAGGAATAGAACTGTGACCTCTTGGTTCATAGGTTGATACTCAACCACTGAGCCACACTGGCTGGGCTGGATTTAAAAGGTAGGATCAAAGATGGATAGATAGTTAGATATCAGTATCTATATATATCGATATCTGTATTTATATTAGCTAAAGGAAATTTAGCTTGCTCATGCAGTCATGCTTAGGAAAATGTTAATTTTAATATGTTTTATGTGAGAAAGAAGTAATTTATTTTAAAATGTATTAAATGATTATTCTGTGCAAGGAGCCATGCAAGGAGCTATGGCAGATGGACCCCGAGGGGTGTCAGATGTATGCCTCCCTTCAGAAGCTTTCAAAGAGGAGACAATAAGCCACTCGCCTATACACATGCACCAAGAAACGGCTGGAGTGCCAACGCCACCCATACACGACTGTATGGGCCAGGCTGTTTCCCAGGGAGAGCACTGCACTGGCCTGAACACTTTCAAAGGCCACCTGGAGTCTCTGTGCCACGCAAGACTCCACGCCATCCCAAGGGGTTTCGAAGGACAGCAACGCCAATAAATAGAAGGGAAATGGAAAGAGCCTTTGGGCAAGTGGGCAAAAGATAGGGGACGTGAGGAAAGGACTGGGAAGCACAGCTGGTGGTTCGGAGGACCTGGTTGCCTGCAACATGACGCCAAGGCCTCCAGACTCTTAGGGAAGCCAACGGAAGGCCAGGAACATTTGGACACTGGGAGGTGGTGGATTCTTTTTTTAAATGAAAATTGGCAAAGGGGCTGAATTTTGCATCTGTGTTAATCCCAGATAAAACAGAAGCAGAAACTAGCAGCAGAAGGGACTAGAGATTCACTAAAATTGTGGGGAATGAACTGTACTTTGTTGGACGGTGAAACTGGAGGGGCTGGGACTGAACCACAGCTTCCAGAAAGCAGCAGGAAGGCCTCCATGATGTGGGGGTTACATAACCATTCATGATGCAAAAACGTGTCCAGGAGCAAGAAGAGAGAAAGCTTACTTGGGGACAAAGTGGTTCTGGAAGGCTCAGAGCTACAACATGAACTGGTCTGAGAGAAAGGGAAAGGATCATCAGGCAGAAGTGCCTCCAAGAGACAAGAACCCAGGGGGCAGGGTAAGGCACCCGGGACCTCCAGCCGCCCAGTGCAGGAGAAGGGCACACCATTGGCATACGGAAGTGGGGGAGTGGGTGTGAAAGGACAGTGATGGACGAGTGCTGAGAAAGGTACCGGATGGCAGCAGAAATCCATGGGCCATTGAGTTACTCATGAATAATCCAAAGAACACATCTCCCAGACACAGACATGTACAAGTTTACCAGAACATACTATGAATTAATATCTACGTCGGGCAGACCAAGTAAGGTGATATGCACTTGGAACCTCATGAAAGTAGCGTGGTCTTTGGGGAAAATGTGACCTCACTACAGACGGAGCAGTGCTTGTCAAAGTGTGTTCCCGGGGCTCCTGGTGCCCCCAACCTTCCCAGGAGAGCCACCGGCCCAGCGATTTCACAGTAACTTCAGGGCATTGTTCACCTTTTATGTTGTGATACAAAAGCAACAGTGGGTGAGAACTGCGGGCCTGGAGCAGGGACCAAGGCAGCACTGTGGCAGCCGCTGTAGCTTTACCCCGGCCACGGCAGCAGATGCAGGGCCGCTTTTAAGTGTGTAGAGGACCCGAGTCCAAAAGGTTTGAGAACAGTTGGCCTAAAGCACGTGGTTTCTAATAGGTGCTATATGAAAATAAGGCTGGGGAGTCAAAGAAATCGGAGAACTAGAAAGTTAGTTATTTTATTGCATAATACTGATGTGCCGTTATGGAATATACATTGATATTTGTAGAGTCATGGATGTGCTGACGTACAGCATGGATTATCAGGAGGGGTCCTGTCAGGGTGCCCAGGTGGCTGGATGGCTCAGGACGGTCCTGGGTTATGCCTATTATCAATAAGGACCCCTATTGTCACTCTCATTAGTACCCAAGTTTGAAACAGTAAATTATATGGTAATCCTCGTTACAGCTGGTGGTATCTCCCATATTTATTTTACCACGGGACCTATTTTTCTTTTTCTTTCTGAGGTACATCTCATGGGACGAATGTCCCAAGGAACACACTTTGGGAAACACTATAAAGTGGGAGGAGAGAGAAGACAGCAGCTGACCTCATTCCACACAGGTCACATGAAATGTGTTAGATTTACAGCCTAGTTTCCACCAAAGCATGGATGCTCACCACTGTATTTAGACTTAAAAAGTGTAAATGGAGTAGACAGCGACTGCTGGGTGGCTGGACTATGGCCACCAGTGCAATTTCCGAAGAAACACTTCGTTTGCTCCCCAGTTAGGTACATGTTCCCGACACTTGTCAAATGTGGCTGGGCTTTCCATCCTGTCGCCATCCATGATGAAACGGTTCCAGATGGCCACCCAGGATTTCTTAAAACACAATTCATCCCAAAACCCCAGAAGAGAAAGCAGAGATGCCCAGGGACGAAATGGTAACATGGAAGTGCTCTCAGATCAGGATGAGAGGCAGAATGGAGAGGATGTCAGTCCCGTAAGCAGGGGGACCTAGAATGCCTTCTCCTCATCAACCCTCTTAAGCAATTGAAACACGCACAAGACACACTCCAGTGCAAACGAGGTAGAAGCTGGTGGCCTGCCAAGGAGACACAGACCCAGCGGTTACCTGGTAGTGCTTCAGGGTCCCGTTGATGAGGAGGGCAGACTGCTTCTCCACCCTCTCGGAGATGGCGTGGGCCACTGTGTAGTAGGACTGGGAGCCCCTGGCACTGCACTGCATGCTGTACTCGTCATCCACGTCTTGCTTGGCTGTCCTGGGACGGAGAAAGTGGAGGATCATGCACACACATCTGGGTGCGTGTGTTTTTATTTCGATCCATTCAGAAAGATGAATGGAAAGCCTAAAATAGCTGCAGTGAGTGTGGTTTATTTATCACCTACTATTTAATTGCCTGGCAATTAAAATACATTATCTGTAATTCTGACAAACCAGAGCGAGGCAGACTTATTAGTTTCATCCCCGTTTTATGCATGTGGAGAACTTCAGGCTCCGAGAGGTGAGTGAATTTGCCTGTCACATAAAATTAGTGGAGTCAGGATCCGAATGCAGGCCGGCGTGACCTCCAATGACCAATAGGAACGGAGCCACACCTGCAGATGAACACTTTGCCTGTAAAGCTGTCTTAGGCTCTTGGGACGTAAGGATAAATCCTACACCCAGAGCACAGTCCGCAGCTTGGAGGGCAGGTGAGAGAAGGCCTTAGGCCAGTGGTTCTCAACCTTCCTAATGCTGCGACCCTTTAATACAGTTCCTCATGTTGTGGTGACCCCCAACCATAAAATTATTTTCGTTGCTACTTCATAACTGTAATTTTGCTACTGTTATGAATTGTAATGTAAATATCTGATATGCAGGATGGTCTTAGGTGACCCCTGTGAAAGGGTCGTTCAACCCCCAAAGGGGTCACGACCCACAGGTTGAGAACTGCTGCCTTAGTCTCTTGGGAAGTAAGGATAAATCCTATGCCCAGAACACAGTCCGCGGCTTGGAGGGCAGGTGAGAGAAGGCTGAAGTCAACATAAGAGACAGGAAAGAGGAAGGTCATCTTCCATTTTCTATGCCAGGTTGGGGAGCTCATATTTTATTCTACAGGCAATGAGGGGGGCAGATTGATAAAACAGGTTCCTCAGAGAAGCACTGATCAGACCATCAAACCTCAGAGGGAAGGTAGTGGAGGGCGGGGGTAGGGGGAGAGATTAACCAAAGGACTTGTATGTATGCATATAAGCCTAACCAATGGACACGGACACCAGGGGGATGAGGGCATGAGTGGGGGAGCGGGAGCGGGGAGACAATGGGGGGATAAGGACACATATGTAATGCCTTAATCAATAAAGAAAAAAAATAAACTGAAAAAAAAGAGAAAAATAAATAAATAAAGTGGGGCCTACAGCCCTGCAATAAAAGGAGGAAAGATTAAAATGTTCATTTTTTTCCTTTTAAATGTCACCACTTTATAATGTTCTATTTTGCCGACTGTTTCATTACTATTTCCTTTTAATATTAGAGCCACATACACAAAGAGCTGTGTAGACCACAGACGTGGGGGACGACCAGGGTGCTGCGGGAGCTGGGCACGCAGAGGGGGAAGGAGGAGAGGGTGCCGAGGAGAGGGGCGTTTCCTGGCGGGACCTGGTGGCTGGCTGGCTTGGCAACAAGGACAGAGGGAATGCTGTCTCTCACTTGGGTTCTGGGTGAGTGCTGACGCCACTGAGGGAGGAAGGAAGGGCGGTGAAGCAGCCAGTGGAGGGGCCAGTGTGATCAGTTCAGTCTGGGGCAGAGTGCAGGTGACAGGTGCGGAGCCCAGGAGTGAGCCGGAGCTGGGGGCGGGGATTCAGGAGGCAGAAGAGGTCAGAGGGGGCAGAGGAGCAGCCAGGAGCCCTGGGGCCCAGTGGCTGGAGCCCAGTGGTGACTTCTCACAGTGATTCAAGTGGAGTGTGGGCACGACGTCAGCCTCCTGCCTCCAAATTTTCCAAAAGAAAACTCCTAAAGCCTAATTTAGGTCATGAAATGCTCTGCAAGGAAGGAAACTCTTGAGAGATACTCACTCAATGATCTGCTTCGCGTCCTTCTCGGAAACTTCTTCACTGTTTGGATCCAGAATTATTTTCTCTTCGTTTTCCTGCCGACTGGACTCTTCTTCCTCATCCTGGGAAGAAACAAAGATTCCATTCTGTCAAGCGAATCTCTATGGTTGGCATTTTCCAAAAAGAGACTAAAGAGTGTTCAACTTCACAAATGAAGTAAATAAAATGAAGGAGGAAGTAGATCTAACACCTCCCTATACCGGGCAATACACACCATTCCACTGCTGTTTAAATCACTGAATGGGAGAATGAAGGCGACCCTCAGAGGAGCCCCTAGCACCTTTGCTCCTAAGGACAAAACTGTAACAGTCATGCCAGAGAGAGGGACATCACCGCTTGGTTATCTAAGAGTCCTGTAACCACATGCCTCTCACCAATGTAGCCACACTCTACCTCCGTCTCTCTGCGGCCGGGCTCTAGACATGTTCGCCTTGTCCTACTCCTAAGAATGTCCTCTCAGATAGGCCAGTGGGTTTTGATGGCCCCGGGCGTTTGCAGTCCGGGCTGGGGCCTGTAGTCACGTGGCTTTGTGGTACTTCACACCTTGCATTTCTCAATGTTTTGATGAAAACTGTCCATAACTCGCCACAGGACTCATCATCTTCCCACCCCGTCATTGTGCACTACGTTCCGCTGTGCTGTCTGAAAGCTTCACTAAATACTCACTGTGCCCACCACTAACCACTGGTGTGGAAGACTAATAACTCTTTCCAGATAATCCAATAGAATTTCCTTTAAAAGTGGATTTAAAGAGAACGATGCTTTTCCATAATTCTTGAGTGAAAAAATACGAAGTGACACAATATTAGTTCTGAAAATCAGACCTATGATGACGGATCACTGAGAGCAGGGGGTAAACTGAGGAATCAGCACCGCTCCTCATTTTCCAGGCGAGAAGCAAAGTGCTGCGAGGGGACAGGACTTGCCATGAGTGGGTGGCAGACCCCAGATGGCGAGTTCACTCTATTCCTGGCTATCGGGGCTGCCTGCATCTGTCAGTCCTGGCTGGCATGCGTGGGCTAAAGAGTCCACTTTATCTCGTCTCTGTCCCTCCCTGGCTCTCTGAATGAGAAGGCTCTTCCAACAGATTATTTATGGGCCCATGTATCCAAGTCAACAAGAAACATTTTTAAAACTGGTTTTATAAGCTTCAAATATACCAGAGAAAGAATAGCCTACAAGAAAAAAAAAAATAGCATGGCTCTAAAAATACTTGCTTTTTAATAGCATACTTTTGTAAAAATATAACTTTTATTTTTCCTCTTTGCAAAGTGTCCACAGTAGATTAATTTAGAAAACCTAGGTCCACACAATAGAAGGAAATAACGATTGTCTTAAAACCCCAGTGAGCTATTCGGGAAGGCAGCTTTGCCCCGTCTGTGGCATCTGTGCCGTGGCCACTCTGAACCAGGATTCCCCGACACGGGCAAAAATCACATTCAGTGACCACACACTAACAACAGAGATGAAGGAGATGGAAATATTTTAAAAATCTATTTGTAATTATTAAGCATTTCATAATCGATATGAAAATTCCTTTATTATTTTATAATTCTATGAAAAGCATACAAGATTACTATTTTAGGTTCTAGATATATTGAGTATTCCTTCCAAGAGACTGAAAAATGTGCTTCTCTTTTTGGTAACAAGTATATCCAAGGATTTCAAACAAGAACCACATTTAAAGGGAAATCAAGAGGATCAATACAGTCATTAAACCAAGCCCGAGTTGCCCTTTTAGTCTAAATTCCCGGACTTTCCATTTCAAATAGATGCTAAGGAGCAAAGAATTTCAGAAATTTTTAGGCAGCGAACCCTTAGAGTGAGCCACTTGGAGGTATGGGAGTGACTTTCCCAAAGTGATCCATCTTCCGTTCTCCCCCAAAGACGGTTCTGCCCCTTCTGATTTAATGACGGCTTCTCTCTCTTGGTTCCGAAAGAATTTAGAATTCACCAAGTCTCCCCATTGGTCAGGAGCCCCCAAGAGGTCACGGCACGGCGAGACGTGCCCCACCAAAGCTTTGGCAAGCCCTCAGCCCCAGTCATTACCCAAAGGCCAATGCTGAAAGCAGAGTACAGAAGGACACAGGTGCTTCCCTCATAGACTTTCAAACCACTGAACTCAGATGCACATACGTACCTCCTCCTCATAATCAGAATCACTTTCTTCGCTGTCGGACCTGGGGGCGACTTCATAACTACAGGGAAAGGGGTGGGAAGGAGACAGGGCTTAGTTCTTTGGATTATAAGACAATGTATACACGCATGACTCAACCAGCATGTTCAGTGTGCGAGTGACAAGCGCAGGTACCAACTTCAACCACTTCAGCAAAGGTCGTGTTGCTTTAGGTCCAAGGTTTTACAAGGAGCACAAACATTGACAAGGCCAAAGAACACCAACAATTCTGCTGTAACGCTCACCCAGGATTCATTTCCAACCAGGCGTCCAGCTGACTTGCTTTGGGTGCTTCCGGTCCAAACAGGACCTTGCCGGTTTCTGTGTGAGTTACTTTGACAGGAAGGTCACTCATCTGACTGCTCTCATCTATCGGCTGGAAAGGAGAGAAAATAACAAAAACACATCACCCCCTGGTGCTCTCCCAATTCTGTGCGGGGCATCTCTCGGCCTTCTGGCTGCTGGCATCTGAAACCCTTTTTTGTGATTGGAAATGTCACCAGCACAAGACCTCAGCTCCCCCAAATGGATGCACTCACCGTGGCTCTGAATTGGGAGCTAGAAGTTCAAGGCAGTTCAAGGCCCAACAGGCACACTGGCGGGAGGGCAGACCCCAGCGGCGGCAGAACCAGGATGGTGGTCCTGGCAGAGCCAAGCTCCTGTCTGCTCCCGCATCAGCCACGTCCTCACTGACCATTGTATGTATAATACCAGGTGTAGCTTCAAGTCCGGCTCTCCAGGCTTCCTGGAGGTCTGATGAATTACCCAACATCCTGTTAATACATCCCCTTGCTACTCCCATCAGGCAGAGCTGGTTTTTGTCATTTGCAATGAAGAACCTCAGCCCCCAAATAATAACCCCACCCCACCCCACATCCTCAGAAAACGACTAGGGCAAACTTATGGTTTCAGAGAGAATGGGAAAAGAAAAAAGTATGTAACTTGTATCATCTCATTACTGGCTGGTATGGCTTAGCAGAACCAGTGTCCTTGACCCAAAACCAAACCACCAGGTACCAAACCAACCATTGGCAGCTGGGCGTGTGATAAAGCCGAAAGCTCCGCGCATCTGAAATCTGCAGAATAGACCGAGCGGAAGTTCATTATCAGACTCTCCATGAAAAATGGCTTGCTCCAAAAATTAAGCGAATCAATGTTATTGCAGAGGCTGCCTTGAACCTACTTCAGAGAATACACTGTTTCATGAGGCCTAAGGGTGGAGTAATCCTCCCCAAGTGACTGCTACGGGTTGGAGGGTTTTTGCTTCCGGGACAGGCCCCAGGCAAGATGTCTGTTTGGAAACGCTTGGCCTGCGAGTCTTTCAAGTTACCTATCTCCGTAAAAGTTACAAAATCCAATGTTTAGACTATTCATTAATTCCAAACATTTTCTTCTACATTATTCTTATTTGGAGTTAAAAAAAAAATGACAGGAAAAATAGTGTACTCTAGGTTACTGTCTAAATCTAATAGGAAACGAACCTCCCCTCTTTTCCCTCAAAGTGCTGTCAGAATAAGACACAACAGATCAGCAATTATCCACAAAAATAACCTTTGAAAAGAGAAAAGGCTCACCCTAGACTATCGTTGTTTTTCTTCCTGTACGTGTGCTAAGGCCGCATGGTGGTGAACACCATCACTTTATATGCCAAGATGACACTTCTTCCTCATTAATGCAAAAGGTCACCTGCATGCTCACACGATAGAGAAGGAAATCTACCATTTACTATCATCTCCCATGGAAGAATCGTACTCCGTGATCTCGAACTATTATAACACAACTTATCCCACTGCTTCAGATGTCATGCCTCAGAGAACACGGGGGGCGGGGGGGCGGGTTCCCGCAGCTGGAATGGCGACTTCGGCAGAAGCACTGAATGAGTGGCACATCAGTGGAATAGGAAACTTATTTCATAACAACCCGAGCGAGAGGTCCGCTTCGCCCACTGCAGCACACAGAGCACGCATGTGCTGGGATTTAAAGAAGAAGAAAAAAGGTGTATGTCACAGGCCCTAGATCCGTAGGTAATTTTCCCAAGAGGTGATAAGAGATAAAGTGCTCTCACAGTAACATGTTAAATCTCTCCCCAGTGCTTGTTAATCACAGACTGATGTGAGGCTAGCTTAGGTCAGGCTGGGCTTTTACAAATTAGAGTGTTTCCAAGTGCTCTTATAGTATTCTTCCCCCTTAACAGCCCACGGAGAATTTCTCACACATCAGACATTTATCCTGTCCCTTCTTTCCTAGGGATGGATTACAGAGGTTAAGCAACATTTACTGTTCAAAGGGTTTCTGCATAGACTGGTGGTTCCAACCTTTCTTCTGCATCCAGGCTGTTCACATTCACAATACATCTCACGTGCAGTGATTCTAGAACAGGAAGAGGCAACCCTCCACCCACCCCAAACCTCCGAGCAGGTTTATCCGAATCTGCGAGAGGAGGAGGCGGAGGCTTGAAGCACGCTCCCTCCGCATCCTGCTCCGGGAGTATGCCTCCTCGTGTGAATCACTGGCAGGGAACTTGGAGTTTTCAGAGGGGAAAAAAAAATCCAATAAATGAATAACTGTATTCTCATGATTCAGGAGACTATTGGAAATACTAGAAAAAATTTAGGAATATGCTGATGAACTGACAAATAGAAGCTACATTGTAAGCCTACAGAAGATGTCAAAAAAATAAGTTAACAAGCCCAGCCGGTGTGGTTCAGTGGTTGAGCATTGACCTATGAACCAGGAGGTCACAGTTCGATTCCCAGTCAGGGCACATGCCCGGGTTGCAGGCTCGATCCCCAGTGTGGGGCCTGCAGGAGGCAGCCAATCAATGATTCTCTTTAATCATTGATGTTTCTATCTCTCTGTCCCTCTCTGAAATCAATAAAAATATACTTTTTAAAGAATAAGTTAACCAAATATGTTAATTGGTTGGCTTATGGAGTATTATAATTTCAAATTAGTAATAAACTAAGGAAGCTGGGTCACAGTTTATGCTTCTGTATCATTTACTGGGCAAATGTAATTATAGAATCACTTAAGATTTTACACATTCTATGTATTCCAAAACGTATGCTTATTATATGTGCACAGAAAATTCTCAAATGGTACACAAGAAACTTAACATCAGTTGATGGGTAGTCTGAGAGATGAATAGCTGAGTAAAAATAAAATCAGTATCACAGACAATGACATGTGTGGTAAGGCATGGCAGAGACTCACTGAGCAGAACACAGTAGAAATGGATGCAAAATCCCTTACCTCTCCATCTGGTCCCAGGGCAGACTCTCCTCCCTCTGCATTCTCCTCGGCCTTCTGTGAAACGACAATGTGTCACATGTCATGGGGCAGCCAAGAGGATGGGGACAGGAAGGGCTTCGCGGTAACTCTGGGGTACGTCACAGCGCTGCATTACTACCCACCCTCACCGAACGAAGCTTAATATTCATGCCTTTTATTTTTAATTTATTTATTTTTAATTTGCCTTTTATTTTTAATTTATTTATTTTTAATTTATCTTTATTGCCGAAAGTATTATAGATGTCCCCTTTGTGGTGTGTGTGTGTGTGTGTGTGTGTGTGTGTGTGTGTGTATTTTCCCATTGATCCCCTTTTATTTTTACTTGTTTTCACCGTCTAAGACAAAGTGTGTATTTTATTAGCAACTTGCAGAGCGTTCTTGAAAGCCAGGTGTGATTCAAGGCCAGCACACTAGAGATTTGTGGATTGTGTCTTCTAGGATCCAAAGAGCTTAAGGCATTGGCAGTACTGAGAGTGAGAGTGAGAGCGAGAGCGAGAAAGGGAGAGAGGCCAGAGGCTGCGGTGTTCTCAAGTCTGGCGATGGGAAGACACATCCTGATGCAGTCAGCAAAACTTTCCTATTCCTTTAGCGGGTTTTCTGAAAATGTCCATTGAGAATAAACTCTGAACTACTCTTGAGTCATAAAAATACAAAATGATATAATATTCTGTGAGTTCTCCAAATGTTTTTCATTCTACCTAATGGGCTTTCATAATAGAAAGTATTTACACAGTGGGCATATGGGGAAATTCGAAGCAGATACTGTGATCTCATGAAAAATTCTGTCATCTGCCGTTTCTTACATATTCCAATCTCTTAGTCCATTAACCTCTGAGAGCCTCAGAGACAGCCTACATGGAAAGCTAGGATTATGCCACATTTTGTACATACCCAAGAGAGTCTTATCTGTAATATACACAAACTAGTCTAAAATGTCTTCCATATGTAAGGACTTCTTTAACAAGTGAAATCTTTCACATCACCTTTACAGAATACTTATTTTAAAGTTATTGCTGGAAAGCTATACTACTTCAGGGCAGTATAATGAGAAGAAAAAAAAAACTTCAGTTATTTGCTTTATCAAGACATTTAAGAAAATAAGCTTTCCTCCCCTGGACCCTTTAGTTAATTAAAAATATATATAATGATACAGAATCAATATTAACTCCACTTTGTTTACTTAAGGCATTGATTATATAATACATATTTTCTTTCCATGTAAATAACTCAGTTGTCTCTTGACAAAACAGCTTTTATAGAAAATGTTTAATGTCTAAAATTCAGCCTTTTGGCCATACTGAAGAAATGCAGTTTTCATAAATGTTTGAAAATTCTGAAGTTCTCTTATAACTTTCTTGGGTGTAGGTGCGTACGCTAAAGCACAAGGCACCAAAGACAGAAAACAAAACGCTCCCTCTGGTTATGATTTCCCAAGAATTTAAGTTTCTATTCACGCCACCCCAAAGTGAAAATGTTTACAAGCTCAAAAGAAATGATCAGTATCGAAAAGCACCAGGCCCTGTGTCTAGGCTGGAAGTATAGAGGGAACAATAGCAGAAAAGACTCAGAAAAGAAACCATCTCTACCACCAACCCCTGGAGCTTTCACTTCTGGAGTTCTCGGGCACAATCTTCAGGCAACTGTTTTAATTAGTGGGAGAAAGTCAATTAATCCCACCATTCTTTCCATACAAATCAGAAATGAGCTACCAATTTGGCCAACAAAGGAAATCAAATGAGACAATGAATAAGCCAATTTCCAATAGCTAGCTTGTGGAAGTGGATCACCATTTCAATGAATAGCACCTTAAAAAGCTTGAAGGACCATCAATAATAAAATCAAAGCTACTCTGAAGGATACTTTTCTATGAATATGCTGGAGACCACTAAGCGTGTTATCTCAAAACTGCTTCATAATCAGGCCCTTCCATTACTTAAAATCCTCTAAACTGACTTAAAAAATAATTCCACTAGGTATCAAATTTGAGAAGCACAATGTAATATTACATGCAAGAAACTTGGTTCTGGAATTAGACGACCTGCATTTGAATCCCAGCTGTGTCACTAAGTGCAAGAGACCTTCACTGTATGACCTTGAGCAAATCGTGCATGTCTTGGTCCCCATCCCCCCCTTTTTAAAAAAAATTATGGGCAGTAACAGTCCCTGTTACCACATAGGGCTGCTGCAGGACTGGATCACTATTTCAATACATACAATTCAATGTCACATATAATATACACTGTGAGCATTAACCTCTACAATGTAAAAGAAACAACAGTAGTCAGAGGGCTGTTTTCATATGTCTACCTAAGACTGCTACAGCACTGTCTGAAAACAGCTTCAGAAGATTAGAGGATTAGGGATTTCTGTCTGTTCTGTTCACTTATGTATGCCCACACCTACCAGAGTACTTGCATTTAAAGGGCACTAAATAAATATTTGGTGAATGAATGAATGAATGCAAGCAACAAGAACAATGCATATGATCAGTGAACTATTATTATTATTGTAATTAGGTGTCAAAATATTTGCAAGTGAAAAGGTTAAGAACACATACACAATTCCTCATTGCACTGGCGCTCTGTGAGACTTCTCTTGCATGCCCTGTACAGTATTTACAATTCCGCTATGTTGTTATATGCGTGGAAGCCAGGTGGCCGTCTACTCTATGGCAAGAGATGCCAAGTTCTCCCATCATGCTTTGTATTCTTGCAGTTTGAAGGTTTCTGGTTGGTGTGCTTTCATAAATCCATGTTCTCATATCAAACTGGTATTTTATTCCCTCCACCCCTCAAGAAAAAAAACACAAAAAAAAACCCACTTCCCTTTTTTGGGTTCAAGATGAACTCCAAACAGACTAAGCACCTGGTGAAATGGCTTAGCTAGTGCCTGAGGGATTTTCACAGAGTAATCTGGGTCACGTGACTGCAAACACATTCTATCAGTATCACTGACCTGAGCTTACTTTCACTGATTAAAAACAAAACATTGGAGTTCATCCATTAATTAGGACTAAAGGAACTTTGCACTACCTTCTTCCTACCTGCAAAAAATTTGGAACTAATTATGCTCATGGAGGTAGAAAGGAATGTAATTAACCTAGTCCTGCGAGGGGATATAAAACAAATTACTCTTAACTAAAAGACAATTCGGGTTCCTAATTCGAAAGGCCAATGTCAATTCATTCCGTCCATCTAGAAATGTTCAGGAACAAAGCTGTGTGCAAGGCTACCCATCTTCCTTGCAGAAGCTACATAAAATAATCAGTGATGGGCCCAAGGAGGGAAAGAAATCCCTCCTTTACACATGAAAATCCTGTTTAAGTTGAACTTAAGAAAATAGACTGCAATGGGGCACTTTATTTTGATTACCACAACACAGGCCACAAACAGCCTCGTTTTGTAAACAAACAGTTTTACACCAAGTAATTTACAATCTATATCATAAAGTGAATTTCTTTTAGCCCCACAAGGTGTTGTTATATTATGCTGAAACAACATTCAAATGTGCTGGCCTCTTAAAGTCTCATTCTGTTTCAATGGAAATCTAAGCTTTCAGAAATTCACGGGGTTATTTTTATTGTCACTTAAGTGGACCACTGAGCATTCAGATAGGGGATCAGGCAATAATAAAATACCCAAGAATATCAAATTAGCAGGCAATTGCACATTGCAGAGAAAACCAATTCTAACATTTTGACTGAAATAACTGGTTGATCCAGTTAAGCAGGACTTGGATCCAAACTTTTGCTTTCACCCATTCGGACACTGAACTAATCAAATCTAATCACCATGGCATTGTGTTCACCTATCTTTACACAGTCGCTGCACTCAAGTGCCCAGAATTACCTAAGATCCTCTCAAATACCTACGAAAATGTCCTTGTAGAGAAAAGCTGCAACAAACTATGTCATCTTTGGGGGGAAAATGAAAGACATAAAAGAACTGAGAAGAACTGCAGAGTAACCTGAATTTAAAACAAATGTTGCAACAACATTACTATTTTGGATTTGATGCTCTTCCTACCAAACATTACACCAAGAGGCTTTTCTGGTTTTGGGATATCTAAAAAAAGAAAAAAAATGCATCTCCTATCACTATATTGATCAATATATTATGCTGGAGCCTGGCCGGTATGGCTCAGTGGTTGAGCATCTACCTATGAACCAAGAGGTCCCGGTTCAATTACCAGTCAGGGCACCTGCCAGGGTTTCAGGCTCGACCCCCAGTGGGGGCCATGCAAGAGGCAGCTGATCAATGATTCTCTCTCACCATTGATGTTTCTATCTCTCGCTCTCCCTCTCCCTTCCTCTCTGAAATTGATTATATAAAATATATAGCTGGAAAGGTTCCCCCTCCAAAACATACCAGTCCCGATTTTACTTATAATTGTGGTTGATGAAAGAGAGAGAGAGAAAAAAAAGAAGTTTCAGAAAGAAAGGGAAACACCACACACAACAAGAAAGATCTGGCCCAGAGTTCTGTCCCACATGGATTCTCTGAGGTGTTCCTGTTAGTGTTGTGGGCTTCAAGAAATGTCACAAATAAGTAACAAGGACATAGTTCTGCTAGTATACACCCCATTGAAAGATTTTTTAAAAATATTTTTATTGATTTCAGAGAGGAAAGGAGAGGGAGAGAGATAGAAACATCAATGATGAGAGAGAATCATTGATCGGCTGCCTCCTGCACGCTCACCCGGAATCAAGCCTGCAACCCGGGCATGTGCCCTGACCGGGAATCGAATTGCAACCTCCTGGTTCACAGGTTGACACTCAACCACTGAGCCACGCCTGCAGGGCCCATTGAAAGATTTGAAAGACAGAATTAAATATTTATTTCCAGCCTGAAGTCCACAGCTCGGGAAGCTGAACTCTCAAGAATGCCTAGACTTTGAAGCAGGAGATTCAGGTCACAGGTGGCATGGGCTCCTAACCACAGCTTAAGGAAAAATACATCCTAAAACCTTGCAAGAAATGCCTTATTGTCACCAAAAACCACTCTAAATCAGAGGCCACATAATTACAAATTCTCTTTGCAGGAACTGGGGAGGGATAAGCAGGATCCACCCACATTAATAAATCCCCCTTTCTCACTGTAGGCCTCACTAGTGTAAGAACCTGTCATTATCCTAAAAGGCAATATTTGATTGATTCTCGACCAGAAAAAAAAATGGTGGCTATTTACTCAACATCACAGAGAATATACAGTAAAGGGGGAAAAGATTTTCTTTTCAAAACCCTACAATCACATTTCAATAACCATGATCCTACATTTATACCACAAAAATGGCTTGATAAAATAACTAAGATTTACTGAGTACTTACAACGTGCCAGGAAACATAGAAAATGCTTTAGAGAAACTTTCCCATTCAATCCTAACCAATCAATCACCTTCTGATAGATCGAGAGACTGCAGTACTAGATAACAGATCTTTTAATGAAATACCCAGTAAGGAATAAGAACAAATTAGTCTGATATGTTTTCTTATGCAGTTATGGATTTAAAAGATTGTGTGCTAACATGATTTGGAGAGCAGTCCAATTTTCTAACTTAGCCTGTTCAATCCTATGTTTATATAAACTCCTGTGGCTTCATCTAGCCCCTCCCCCTTTTATCCTGTCGTCAGTCACTCAGTAGATGTTAGAGAACAGGCATGGCAAAGGTCAGAGGCCTCAAAGTCCCGCTAAGTGCATGTAACAGTGCCTTCATCCTGCCCCCCTGCAGAGATATTTCAATGCTTTAACAATTATTCCTCCTCTACCTCTTAAGCAGATACATACAGTTTACTTGTTTTTCTTCCATTTCAAGGGTATTAATGGAAGACCAGGTTGAGAAGGAGAAGTTTCAGAATGATTTATAAATACGTACTTCATAGAAATGGCTATAACAGTGAGAAGAGGAAATTAAACAAGGTCATGGCAGGTTAAAGGAACCCCACTCTATTATTCACTAACAACAAGTAAACACAATATACTCCTAATGGGGAAAAACAAAGGTCTTTTCTGTTACACGGGGGCTATTTTAAAAAATTATACACTGAGTTTAACACAAAGCAAAAAGTAACCCTTTTGCAATTACATTACAAGGTCAATCATACTCAACTTTAATAGCACTGCTCTTGGAGTCACCTGCATCTTAGAGGTCTTACAAATGCTGCTACCAGCTCGATGCTATTAGTTCACTGGGTCAGAAAGGGTTTTCTCAAAGCAAAGATTTATTGATGCCTTTCCTAATTAAAAAAATGCAGTAAGGTTCAGCATGTCAGTCCTATGGGGAAATGCCGAAAGGGACAGCACAGAATTTTTAAGCTTCCAAATGCAGTTTCCTTCCAGCCAGAGAAACTGCAACAAGTAACTTTCAATCCTTCACTCTAGTGGAGGAAAGAACCACAGATCATACCAAGTGTCCAACTATCAGCTTCTGAAAGCACCCGCTTTCTCTGCACTAGTAGAGGTGCATCTGGAATTGGGTAACTCACTCTGAACTGTTTCAAAGCCCCGTGAAGGACACAGCTTTATCCCATTTCTGCCAGCAAGATGGCCAAGGAAGGTGATCCTTAGTCCTGCTGAGAGCAGAGAGGGCCCAAATGCAAGGCACCCTGATAGCACAGCAGGGAAGAGGTAAGGGCTGTTCATCAAGGGATAAGTCTGCATCTTCAATCATGTGAGATCATCAGTGGGAGGTGCCCGAGATAGCACAAGGCAGACTGCAGTGCTTGGCTATTATTATTCATTTGCCAGGAAATCAGGAAATTATTGACTGGCATTATTCCTTCACCTCATTCACCTCAGATTATAATTATATGTTTAGATGCATATTTGGTTAATGTCTGTCTGTTTGTCTGTCTCTTTCTCTCTCTCTGATTAAATTGAGAGGGCAAGAGTGCTATCTTCACCATTACATTCTCCCTCTCCCAGCATCCAACACACTGCATCTCCACCATAGTAAGTGTTCAGGTATCAGTCATTGAGCAAATGCAGGAAATAGAATAAGTGCTACTAGCAAACTGGAAGGCAAGAGTTTGGAGGTAGAGAGCCAACCTAGAGATCATCAGAGTTGTGAAATGAAAAATATGACAGGTTCGTGCTCTGTACAGATTAACACAAAAATAAAGCCATAATCATTATCACTCAACTATGTATCTTTCTAAGATGATATAATGATCTACCACTATGGCAGGAATCTATTAATTTTAAGCCAGAATTGGGCCATTAGCTTTTAATCACAAAGAAATGTAGAATACAAACATTAATATTAAAAACGCTAACAGTGACCTTTCTGTGACAATCTCTGCAAAATCCATGACTAAATTCAGAAAAACTACAGCTGCCATTTCATGGGGTCCACTTATGGAACCCTATACAATAAAAGGCTAATAAAGGCTAATATGCAAATAGATCAAACGGTGGAACAACCGAACAACTGGTTGCTATGATGTGAGCTGACCAGCAGGGGGTGAGTGCGCATGCGGAACATGGCGGCATCGGCAGCAGGCAGCAGAATGTGGAACATGGAGGGCGTTGGCCATGGTGGGATGGTGGAGCAGGTGAGCAGGGGCACCAGACCAAGGCAGGTGAGCCTCTGGTGGTTACTGAAAATTCTTTGCTCCAGCAGTCGCACCCGGGACTCACACCTGCTACCGGCGCCAGCCCTGCTCGCACCTGCTGCCGGCCCCGATCACCCAGCACCACCAGTGGGTGACAGTGGTGGCTGGCCCTGATCGCCCCTCAAGGCTTCTCCACCTCCCCCTGCTCCTGAGGGGCGATTGGGCCGACAGCCGCTTCTCGCACCTGCTTCTGGCGCTGGAGCCATCGTTCACACCCACTGCTGGCACTGGCCCCGCTTGCACCTACTGCCAGAGCCCGGCGCCGTCAGCAGGTGCGAGTGGCAGCTGCCAGCCCCGATCACCCGAGGGCTTCTTCACCTCCCCCTGCTGCTGAGGGGCAATCGGGGCAGCAGCAGCCGCTCACACCTGCTGACGGCACTGGCTCCACTTGCACCTGCTGCTGGCGCCAGCCCTAATCGCTCCGCGCCCGTCAGTGGGTGTGAGCGGGGCTGGCACCGTCAGTGCATGGGAGCGGCAGCAGCGGGAGTGGGGCTGCCAGCAGACAGGGAACCAGGGACCGCAGAGGGAGGGGCCAGCCAGGCAGGGGCACAGAGGATGGGCCGAGACCCACCCCTGTGCCCACCACAGCCCACAGTTCCTTTCAAGGTGCACGAATTTGTGCACTGGGCCCCTAGTGTTACAGAATTGTATCTGTTTGCCTGTGTGCTCTTCACTAACTCTGAAAGCGTCTTTTTAAGTTAAATATTTGGAGCTGCAATTTTGCAAAGTCTATAATGCTACCTTGACAAGAAAATGAGGTATTTCTCACCATGGAAACATCTAAACCCAAGCCCTGAGACACCCCTCGTGCATCTTCACCAGAAGGGAAGGTATCTTCTACTACAGGGATCAGGAGCAAGCAGGCACCTTCTCAATCATGCATGCCCCTCCTTCATTATGAAACAGGTATGAGAATTCAGGAGCCATGAAATTAATTATTTTTGGAAAAATATTTTGCTCAATTATTCAGTGCAGAGAATAAACAATTAAATGCTACCCCTCCTCAATCTTCCCAATTCTGAGGAAGACATCCTGTTTGTATCCGGGCCAATTAGAATTTACCATGGAAACAAAACATCAACCAAGAGCTGTTTGCAGACTACTTAAGCCTCAGAGAAGAGCTATATTCACAGGCCTACACTAGCACATTGCCCTTGAGTTGGGATGTAATATCTGTAGAGCAGAAATTCTGTATCTTACCTTTCACTTCTCATGACCATTAGGACATGTTTTACCTAAGAGTCTTGTTTTCCAGCATCACCTGAAACCCTGACCTGCACACTTCCCTGAGTGGGACACAGGGCTGCTGATCTAAATGAACAATTCTGGCATTGCTGGTGTCCAAATAAACAGGCTGAAATTTGTTCCAAAAGTATCCCAAAGCTATCTCTTATGTCTTTCTATGGTTTCTTTCAATCTGTACACTGCAATTTCTCCTAACTTTTCACTTCAGTTTCTTAGCTGAGCACACTGCCACATGACTTCACATTTAAGAAAACAGTTCATTGTGCCTGTGTTTTCTCTCTTCTTACTGACCATGTGTATTTAGTTTTTAAATTCTGTGTGAAACAATGGGCATATGAACCACATTGTTACAGTTTAATACCTCCTACCCATTACCCCCTCATCTCCAATGTCTAGTATGCCTGATCAACTCTTTCACACCATACCCATTTATAGGAGCAATTCCTGCAATCCAGTAATCTAAACCTCTTATTAGTGTGGTAAGTGTATATATTAAAGAGCAATACACGCCTGAAACTGATCCCTCCACTGGGTACTCACCTTCTTCCTCCTCCTCCTCTTCTTCTTCTCCTTGGCCGCCTGGGCTTGCTTGTGCTCCCAGACCAGGTTGGTGAGGTTGGCCACATACTCATCGGTCTGCTGTAAAAGGTAAGCTAAACGCCTGTCTTTCTTTTGATCAATCAGTTTTCTGTAGCCCTCTTCATCTTCAGCCTGTTAAGGAAAGAAGCCAGATCAGAGCCTAATGACAGTTTGTAGATGCTTTTTCCCCCTCCCCCCTGACAGCCTGAACTCCAGTGGTGAGTGCAGCAGAGCGAATGCTCCAGGCTGCAAGGGTTCCCACACACAGGGAACCGGGCGCACAGGGGAGAGCGATGCCTACATCCTGGGACACCGGGGTTCGCGGCAAAGTCAGGACACATGGCCGCAGTATTTATGTGGCGTGATGGAGCACGCTGTGTCAGCTCTTTGTTCTTCTGTGTTTCTTTAACAGCACAAAAAATGTTAAAATCGGACAATTCACCATCTGAAGTTTATTCTTAACTTTGTATTTTGGAAATTTTCAAATACAATCAAAAGTGGAGAGAATAAGTATTTCTAAAGGCAAGAGAAATCAAATGGGCACTGAACAAATAACTTCTTATACGTAAAAGCATTACACATATTGTGGTTGATAGGGGAGGTCAAATTTGGGGGATTTTTGTCATAACTGGCACTGTCCTTTGGGCCTACGTGACTGGGGACAAGTCAGCTACTACCTGACGTCTGATACTACCCAACAATAACACAGATGCAGTAATTCCCACCTCCACCTACCAGTCAGCCACATTATGAGGTTAAATGGGGTAAAAGCTCTGATATACTCTGTGCCATTTCAGGAGAAATCTTTTTTTTATGTCCCACTAAAAGGACACCTCTTGTGATGCAGGATAGAGAGAACAGGTCGCAAATGCCTCAGGAGGCAGCTGAGTTACAGAAGGGCCCAGCGCCTTCCTCAGGGGTGTCGCTCTAGCCCAGGGGTGGGCAAACTTTTTGACTCGAGGGCCACAATGGTTTCTTAAACTGGACCGGAGGGCCGGAACAAAAGCATGGATGGAGTGTTTGTGTGAACTAATATAAATTCAAAGTAAAAATCATTACATAAAAGGGT